TGGATGTGACAAACACAGTCACATTGGCTGACTTGCAACAGATGCTGTTTGAGGAATGGGGTGACGTCCCACATCACTGTGTGACCAAGCACAACCAGCTGTTGCGGTTGACTGTCACGCTTCACTGAGGCCCCAGTTTGTTGTATGGAAACATTTTCCAATTCCCAATCTGTGTAGCTCATTCAGCTTAAGACAGAGAGAGGATTTGCTCAGTATCTGGGCACAAACCAGAAACTGAGAAAAAAAAAACTCAGGTTTCCATATAATCCCTCCTTTTTACCTCATGTCCATTCTTGAGCCAATAAATTTTGACAAACAAGCTGCATGCTTTCATCCTTTGTTATTTGACCATTACTTTTTCAAAATTAATTCCTTTTTGAGAGTATTGTGGCATATTATTTAATAAAATTATAATGGCTTACATTTTTAGTTTTGGCAGAACCTCAGAAGTAAAACACAAATTCCTTTGTAGTGCAATTTATGTGGGTAAATGTGAAATCTGAAATAAACACGCAAATTCTGGTAACCCTGGTCTCAGTGGGTGACAATGAACCCTTACATACAGCAGGGCTGCAAAAGAAATATCAGTCGAGCAAAAAGGCAGGAAATAACTTCCCCTCTAATGATCATTTATGTAATCTGAAAACTTTTAAATCCTCACTTAGCTTCTGACCGGCTACTCATACTATCTCGCTCTCTGCTGGTTTTCTTTTGTACTGCTCCAGCTATCTCATGTGTACAGACCAGTATGAGCTTCCTGCTCATACTGGTTTGGAGTGCTATCTTGTGATAGCACTCCAAACAAGCAGCAGTTGCAAGGAAAAACGTTGAAAGTTTTGGTCAATCTGGACTAAGCTGGCAAATTTATAGCAAAAATGAAGCGTTTTCCTTCTGAAGCAGGATTTTAAATTAAACGTTCTAAAATATGTTTAATTTTAATAGAAATTTATTAGAAATTAAATGTATTTGTCTTTGCAGCAAGCCAACAGTAATAAGCAGCTATTTATTTACTTATTTCACCTGAACAACATTGTGGACCTGGCTGGCTTATAGCCTCAGGCCAGATTGTTTTTTTGTTTTTTTTAATTACTTTTAATTTTTTGTCTTTTATTATTAGCCTCCGACCAGTTGCGACTGTGTTTTATCTTTTTAAGGGAGGATTCTTTTCATGCTTGAATTGTTTTCCTTTGAAAATTACCAGGTATGAAGAGGAGTCCAACTTAATTGGTAGAAAAGTTGATGTTGTCTAAACAGTACTCCATTCATGCAAGCCGAAGTCACTTCCATGTTTGCAGGGGAGATTAAACGCCTGGAGTTTAGTCTCTTTCAATAGTGCTGTTGCCTATTGAAAGAGACTGCCATAGACATGCAACCACATTCTGAGCTGCTCGTTTCTGTTTCAAATTATTTACAGTAGATTGTAGAAAAAAGTACCTAGACCTACGTACTGTTGTTTGAGGCATTTGCAGGCTAGAATAATGCAAAGTTATACTTGTGTAGCTTATATTGAACAGAAAATAAGAACTTTTTGGGATTTTATTTGCTGATCACTGATTTCTACAGGAACATTTTCAGATGTGGTTCATTGATCTGTACGTCTCAAATCAGAGGGTTTTAATTTGTATTTTTATTACAATCAGTATATAATGAAAATCATGAAACAAATGTGTATATGTCAGATGCACTTACAGATATTTAAGTGGAAAATTTGGTAGAAATGAAGCTTTTTAGAAACTGAAAAATACTTTTTTGTTGATCTGGGCTCGTCTTCTCGGAGTCCTCTCAGTGAGTTCCTTCCTGTCCTACCGTAGCTTATGAGTGATTCAATCAGCTGCTGGGAGCGACTCTGAGCGAGGTGTCAGTGTGGGGGTGTGGATGAAAAACCAAAAGCTATTAATTCTGGCTGAGAGACATCGTGAGGTTGATTCCTGATCAAGGAGCAGGTGGTTGATTAGAAACTAGGTGTAGCTGTGAGGGAAGGCAAGTAACTAAAGCAGATAAGAGTAAGTGGGAACAAAATGGCTGTTAGAATACACAGGGAACAAGTAATCAATCTAAATACAAACACCCCAGAATCATGACAACCACTGTTGCTTCTCTATGTTTTTGACAGTAATTTGACTCAATAACCAGATATATTTTAAGTGAGGTGGATGCCAAAGGTTATTTCTCCAAATCCCTGCTAGGACAAAATTACTTTCATATCCACGGCCCAAATTTTGCTCCATACAGCTGGCAGCAATGGGTGAAAACAGAACTGGCCTCATGACTTAGATTTGTGACCGCTGTGCTCTCTAAGAACTGTGAAAAATTGCTGCTTTGCAAATTGTGTTGTGAGACGTCTAATGTTGTGTTTGTGTGGCTTAGACTCATATTTTCAGCTTCATTTGTTTCATTAAGGGAGTATGCAGAGATTGTATACATATTTTGGCCCCAAATGGCGTCCTGATGTAACTCTTAATGAGCTGCTCTGACTTAAGTACCCTGACTAAACTGCACATAAAATGTTCTTGTTTACCAGCTGTGTCAGTCAGCTTCCTCTTATCAAAATTAATAGAGTAGCTTCCACTGGAAGCTGGGAGCAGAAACTAATTTACCCTTATAATGTGTTTTAATCAGTTACTGTTTTACAGGGAAAAATCTACTAAGTGCAGCTTTTGATTTAAAATCCACCATCTGGAAGGCTTCCCTTTTCAATTTTACATCAGTGGAACGCAAACAGGATTCCCATCGGTGGACACCTCGACTTTTGATTGAGTTCAGAGAAACAGATGCTCATTTGTAGCCAGATTCCTCCAGCTCCATCATCACACGGACACAGAGAGAGAGATGGAGACTGAGGGCAGAGACGAGTGGGTCGTTGGAAATGCAAATGCCACGCCAGAGAACTAAATTTGCTTTTGTCATGACGAGGGATTTGATCGTGCTGGGAAGGTGAGGCTTCCTGGACCCAGCCGGACAGATTAATCCAAGCTTGACCTGGTCTGATTTTTTTCTTTTTTTCAAAACTCGTGCTCACAGAAGAAGGTTGCTATCTGAGAGGGGGGCTGTGCAGGCTGCAGGGAAGCTGGGGAGAGGTAGCGTTCTTTTCCAAAACTAAAGAATAGCACTTCCTTTTGAGTGTTTTCAAAAGACAAATTGGCTTGGATCAACAGCTAGGCAGCTGGCTGATGGAGAAGTGAGATGTATATGGCCCACATGGGCATTTTCATCATAACGGCTTTTCTTTTTATTTATATATTTTGTCCCCCTGCAGTATGTCACCTGCTGCAGTGTGTCATTCTGCCCTATTTGCTCTCATGCTCTATCACTCACCCACACAAGTACACCTTAAAGTACAGTGCAGTGGTCCTGAACTAATCCTCCCTTTAAACACGTCCTACACAGTTGTGTTTGTGGCTAACTGCCTTTGATAAAAAAAGGAGAGAGATCTCACTTCAGTCTGAAAATTGAAAAAAAGGATGTTGCCTGTTTAGATGTTCCCATGCTGTTTAGAATAATAAACAGCATGGGAACAGTCATTTTTAGAACATTTCTAGAACTAATGTTATGGCTTTTTTGCTGTCCGGAACAGATTTATAATCTGGGTTGTGTAACCATTTTGAGTTGAACATTGACTACATAAACAGTGGTCATTTTCTTTATTTCTTTCTTTTTCTACTTCATTAGTAGAGAAACTTAAACCTCTGATTCTGCTGAGGTATTATAATAAGGAAACTTTATGATAAACAATTTAAAATGCCATTGAATGATGAATATGAATCTAGATAACTGAACTGTCTCTCTTATTTTACTAGGTGCTAAGTCACAGGTGTGGCCTCTATACTTGCACTGTTGATTAGTTCTGCATTAGTTTAGTTTGGGGTGATTCTTGATCTGACCTTTAGGAGTATTCAGCCCCCTGTGAAAACAGACAGGACTTTTTGACTGACATGATTGTTAATGTCCAGGGAACAAACAAACCCTTTTAAAAAACTGTGTACTCTCTTCGCCTGGGGTTGTGCTGCATCAAGACACAAGAAACCTCCAAACAAGACATAATGTAAACAAAAATGGCATCATGGTTTAGCAGTTGTAGGATTTTTATTTGTGTTTGGTAAAAGATCACAAGCTTCTTCTTCTACATTCTGGGTAAATATTTTGGTTATATTTACCCAGAATGCCCTGTCCATTGTGGTTTTGAAGCACTCTATGGTCCGCTTGGTGTTCACACATGATTTCGAACCATGACAGAATTCATGTGGTGCAAACCACGATTTGGTTTTTTAGGCAGACTTAGGTTTTTATACTTTCACACCTCCCCAAACAAACTATTCTAGACAAACAAACAATTCCAGAGCTTGATTAAAGCGGACTAAAAACATTTAGTGTGAATGCACCCTCAATTTCCTGCCAAACCAGTGAGATCTCTATTGACGCCCTGCCATAGGCACGTTTCTTACTAAAGTAACTAATATAGAGGAATACAGAACAGAACCTTAATCCATGTGATCTGATCAAAATCAAGTTGCCAAATGTGAAGCCATATTTTCAGTAATGTTTTGCCTTGTTCTTTAAATAAGAACCCACTGTTGTCTTCCTGAAACTCCCAAACTATCAATTATTTTTGTTTCTTTCCTGCTTCCTCAATCTGTCACCCTTTTCAAAGAACTCAGATTACCTTTCAGGCTCTGCTTTTCATCAGATATTTCATTTGATACATCGGATCAAAAAATTTGCTTCTACTCAAAGCTTAAATGAAAGCCTTCGGGCAAAACCTGCTTACTTTGAGGTGTGCAAACGTTACAGGATGACGGTGCTCAGGATGTGGAACACCTGTTAGAATTCTTGAGTTAGATATTATTTTAGGATATCATAATGTATGGACAGCTATCTAAAATACCTGAAAAAGTGAAGGGCTGAAGGAGTCCTTCACTTTTTCAGTAAGCAGCTTTGTGTACACAACTTCAAACTAAAGGTTTTGACTGAAAATCACTGTGATTTCTCTGTTTCTCTTGCAGGTTTGGCAGTTCACCAGATTATCACAATCACTGTGTCTCTCATCATGGTGATCGCAGCCTTGATCACAACACTCGTCCTTAAAAACTGGTAGGAAAGATTCCTTTACTTTTCACTCACAGCACCTTGTCAGCAGATCCGCTTCTGTTTTAGAGAATCCTACTAGCTTAGTCATAGGTGCGAGGTATGATTTTATGTTTGTTTCTTGTCTTTGGTGCGTGTTTTTGTAGCTGTGCGCAGTCTGGAAATGGCCGCCACAATAGCCATCAGAGAAAGATCCACCAGCAAGAGGAAAGCTGCCAGAACCTGACAGACTTCACGCCGGCCCGCGTGCCCAGCAAGGTGGACATCTTCACTGCCTACAATGACAGCCTGCAGTGCTCACATGAGTGCGTACGGACTGCCGTCCCCATCTACACCGATGAGATGATCCAGCAGACACCTGTGTACAAGACGGCTTACAATGGAAACAGGTACAATGGTGGAAAAATTACTAAATGAAAGAAATAATGTTGAATGCACTTAAAAATATGTAGTCACTTGTTTCGGGGGTTTTAATTTTTTGATTCTAGTTTCATAATTTCTTTATTTTGATTAGGCCGCCCTTGTTTCTGTTTTACAGTAGTTCAATCCTTAGTTATTTTAGTTTTCTATGTCTAGTTCTTTGTGTTCATTTCCCTGGTGTCCCACTTTGTGTACTCTCCCTCGCCCCTGTGCCATTTTCTTTCTCTTTCTCCTCATACCTGCAACCCATTTCTGACTAGCCATCTATTCCCTGTTCAGTAATCAAGCTACCCAGTTTATATACAACTTATTCTCAGTCACTCCTTGCTGGTTCTTCCTGTTAAATCCCCATTTTTTCTCTGATTTAACCTACTGGCTGTTCTTTCTGGTTTTTGTGGGGATTTTTTGTTCTGCTCTGGGCCCCTGTGATTTTTTTTTTTTTTTTTGTAAGTTCTTTGTTCTCCATTTTCATTAAAACTTAAAATATCTGCCTTGCTGAACTTTGGTCCTCCATTACCACAAAATGACAGTTCCTGTGTGATTTCTAAAATGTGAAGAGAGTACAATACCCTCTAATATGGGAAATAAATCAGTCTTTTTAATAAATAGTTGTTAGATTGTAGTTAGTACAATCTCAATCTAAAAATGTGTTTTTTCACTGAAGAAAATTTTTGAGAAAAAACCTTATAATCCAAGCAAAATTGTTGGAATTACTATTGAAATTTTACCAATTCCTACAAAATAAAAGTGAATAAATATAAGCTTCCATTTACAACCACTTATATAACTTTATATCCAAGAAACTGATGAAATAATTTAAATTTCCGTGTCCGTATTGATGATTTTCCCATTTTGTGCACAGTGCAACATTAATTTAGTCTTATACTGACAATTTTTACAGTCCAGGTGATGTTGTGGGATAAAAGAGCAACAATGATGACAAATTAACAGCTGTACATCGGCAATGATGCTGAAAATGATTAATTTAGTGTCTATATTTAACAATCACAAGTCACTGAAAGCCTTTTTACCGCTTTATTTTACAGATGTAAAACAGAAACACTTCTGATGAGTCAAGCAGCTTTTTTAAGTATCTGACTGTGACAACATTATGCTGTTGACAGAGACGTCGAAGGCTAACTCGGGGCCTGATTAGACCTTAGCGGATACATGCTAATAAAATCTCTGCGGTAAAAAGACATGCCTTAGCTCGGTGTTTCATTCACGTCAAAGTCAATTTTCTTAATGACCTAACAGCCTTCGTTTTACCCAACAGGCCCTCCCCCACTGAAAGACAACTGATTCCTGTGGCCTTTGTGTCGGAGAAATGGTTTGAGATCTCTTGTTGACGAGCTGTAGGCTTTCACTCGTTTACTGGGAAAGACTTCATGAATCCACGCTCTGGTGGGTACTTCTCCATGTTACCTCCTCTACAAACTGTCGAGTGGGCTTCGGCCGCCTCAATCCCCTTTGGTAACGCTGCCCCACTTTGGGAATTGAGAGGAACTTGGCATATGTTTGTTATTTGTGACATAATTGTGGATTTTTCCCATATCATGTGTGGCAGGAATTTCAGTTCATAGCAACATTTCAAAAATGAGCTAGTCGTTGGGCCTTACTGCTATTCTTGTGAAGTTCACAACCCTTGAATTTGTTCACATTTTGTTTATTCATAGCCACAAACCTTCATGTATTTTAAGTGTTAGAACATCACAAAGTAACACTTACAGTGCCCCCAGAAAAGGATTCACCCCTTTTTACTTTCTTATTACTTGCAGGAATTTTAAACAACATAATTTGGCTTCATTCATTTCTGACTGATCTTGAGCTCCTTTGCCGAGAACACTGGGCGGAAATGTTACTGCCTTGATTTAGAAAAAGAATACATTGAAGTTTGGGGTGGTGAGTTCATAAAATGTGAAAAAAAGTTCAAATGTTATAAATACTTTTGCAGCATACATCAGCACCATGTGATCACACCAATTTCTTTTCACCTAAGCGTCCAAAAACTCTTTGCCCTTTAATTTCCACTTGCATTTCGAGAGTTTGTTCGCAAAAAGAGTAGGTTTATGCCTTTCTCAAAAACTTTTGCTTGGCCAGTACATGCTAGGATGTCCAAGAATTTGAAATTCAGTTTATAAACCTTGAACACATGCTTTGGCGCTGCAGTATTGGTGGAGGTGGTGTAACTATTGAGCCAGATATTCAATTAAATTGATTGCCTGCAGGTAAAGTATGGAGAGGACAGGGTGTCATGACATTTGTTGTTGCCTGGACACACATTTTAAAGTTCAGCTTTTCACAGCATGCGCCAAATTGCAAGGCTTTGAATAAAACAGACTTCTGACCACGTGTATTTATTAGGATTATTTGTCTAGCAATTAGCCTTCGTTGTATAGTTTATTTGTACACCGCAGGTTACTTTAATCAGCTTTGAAAAAGGAAATGAGTAGCATGTTTTTCAGGCCAGACTGGAATGTCACCCTCCCCTCTAAAGCAAGCAGAAAGTAGGCTAATTTAGGAAAAAAAAATAAAAAATTGTGTTTGTGTTGCTTGGCCTCGTAATGAGGAATAACTGGATTGTTTTTGTCTTTCTCTGTACTTCCACAGGATCCAGTTGGAAACAAGAAACACACAAAAAACAACTTATTTTGTAAAATAGTGTAATCTCTCCTTGGACACTTGTGAAGATATTTATTTTTCTAGAGATAACAAGCTGAGCAGCCGTGGAGCTGCTCTTCCATCTTTCCCGAAAAACAGCATTCATTTAGGTGGAGAGTACACACATATATATTATATATATATATATATATATATATATATATATATATATATATATATATATATATATATATATATATATATATATATATATATATATATATACAGAACGGATGGGACAAGACTGTGCAAGACAAAGGAGCCCAAGAAGCTGCTTTGGGTGGAAGACAAACTATATATTTCTGAACAATGTGCCAATAATGCCACTATGTGCCACAACCTGGATAAATGGAAGTTTTAACAATAACTGAAGGACTAAACAAAGTGTGTTGTATTAAACCTGTATAATTTCTTATTGCTTTATTTATTTTCTTTTTTTCTCCTTTTTTGAAAGAAATGTAAAAAAATATATACTTCAAATGTATTTGAAAATGTTTTGAAGTAATTTTGAGAAATGTGTTGCAAAGGAGTCTAAAACATATTTCTACGAATCACAAAAAAGAGTTAGAAAAAAAATATATAGATGGTTTATGCTTTATTGAACAATTGACTTTAAAGGCATAATTTGTATTAAGTCCCATTTTAAAATCAGAATAGTTATGTCTATTTTTGTACACCTAGGAATTTAAAAAAGAAAAAAAAAAAAGGAAGAGTCTGCCGCAGCACCGACAGTTGAAGTGTGGAGAACGGAGGACTGCTGCTGTTACACGCCCCCCACTGTTAGCTGAAACTATTACAAAAGACCCCATCTGCATCTGGCTCCAGCCAACCCTATGCTCACGTCAATGCTTTTTAATCATGGAGGTTAATGAAAACAGATTTGGAGGGTATTTGTGATGAAGAGGTATGCAACGGCACCATGTTCATATAGTTTGAATGCAGAGAGTCACAAGACACTACAGGGAACTCCACAGGATATTCATAGCATCTCAGGACTGTTTAGGTTTCATGCAAAATACTAATTATTCTCTTACTAAGCAATTAGTCAGACTAAGTTCTGATACTTGGTATAATTCAAATGGAAAGTGAAAAAAAAAGAGGTTCCAACATCCTCGAAAATATGTGAACCAGTTTTCTGGATGCAGAATGGGAAGCAACATAGGAATAATGCTAAAGCTCAAAATAATCCTCAGCAAGTTTTCTTACCAGATGCATTGCAAAGGCCACCTCTCTATAGACCCACCTGGTTCTCTACCAAAAGGAAAGCAGTTCAAATAGAATGAAATTTCACCAGTTTTCAAACAGACTGTGTTGAAATAAATGATCCAGCCGTATCTGAAATAATTCAATTAAAAAAAGTTGACACTCCCTGATTGTTTAGTTAAAGTCAAAGGATTAAGACAAGCCAATTACCCACCACCACCAATTTGGTTGAAACAGTCTCTGAACTGCATGGTGAGAAGAATAGCAGCGCTCTCCCGAGAGCCTCCTCGCACCAATGACTTTATTATTATTAAAACGTAAACCTCTGATTACCTTTGTGCTACGAAGCTCTTGTGGAAACTGTCTAATAATCTACCTGTAATTGTGCTGTGGGTTTGTACAAAGCACAAACACGATTCTGTAATTGTAAACATTTTTCGGGGCTGCAAACAGCAATATGTACAGATTTAATCGGTTTCACTGGGTGTTGGGAAAAGTAATTTCTAGTAATTCACATGGGTCCATCTTTTATTTGTTTTAGACTTGTACACAATTCCTAACATGTACCAGAAAAACATGGCAAATGATGTAAAGGAGGCCGTTTTCACACATGACTGGCTGAAGATTGTTTGAGGATTCTACATACAGTTTGGTGTGATTTAAAATATATATATATATATATATATATATATATATATATATATATATATATATATTATTCTTATTGGGTTTTTTTAAGTGGCTGTTCACTTAAGCATTTCATTATAGAAAAGTTTCTTCTAAAGATTTGGTCTCATAATCAGAAGTGTTTGGAATGAAGAAACTGTAAGCAGGACAGAATGCGGAGAAATTGAGGTTTTCAAAAATGAGAAACCTTTCTACAATCACTGTTGTAAAGAAAGAATTATGAAGAAATAAGAACTGTTTGTGTCTTAACACGTCCCAAGAGTCAAGGGAGCAAATGGTAAAAAACAAAACAAAAAAAACAAAAACAGGTCACCAGGTAAAATAGAGATATTCGCTGCTACTTTTGCACATTTTCTCGCTAGCTGTTCTTCTGGATTTTTATTTCTTTGTTTTCAAGGCAGCCTGAAAAGTCTCTGAAAGAGTTTCAGGGGAAATGCTGCCACGTTGTTTCTAGAACATTCCAGGACTGTAGTGCATGTGTGAAAACGCCTTATGTGTAAACGCGAGCCCTTGTGGAGGTGTAAAAAACTGAGTTGGGATCAACACTGTGGTGCAAAACTCCTGTTTTCTGGCCCAAACACAACATAAAAAGAAAACTGGCTCTAATGAATAACGCATAACTGATTCAGCCTCAAATGCGTCAGGCTGTATTGCTTCTTTGACATAACGTATATTTTTTGAATGAAGACTCTTACCTTCTCTATCAGAGGGGTTACGAAACCTACTGTATATTACACACGTGTAAATGTATTTTCTATATATTTGCTTCTACTTGTGTACAGGTGTGTTCTATTTTTCAAGGCCTTTCCCATTGTTGGGAAGGCTTCGAGCTAGGTCGGGGATAGTGTCTTTGTTTACATGTGTATCTACAGTATTTCTTTCAAAAACACAAAAACTAACCTTGTGCCAAGCTTCTTCTCTGCACTTTCGAGCAGTACTTGTATGATATCTCTAGCTAACCAGTATAATACTTCAGTAGATGCTGCAATAGTTCAAAAGAAAAGTGGAAGGTCTGAAAGGAAGAATATTGGGGGGCTTTATCAGGTTCTGGTGCATTTATGGATTGGCTGGAAAACCAATGACTTGCTCTTCTCAAACACTTTTGAGTGGAATTTAATGTAAAGAGCAACATCACATGAAAAATTTATTTTAAAAAAAGCAACTGATGCCAAGAAACCAGCTAAACTTCATCTATGTTGAGTTCCTTCCATCTGTCATTCTTTTTTTTTTTTTTGGTTGTTTTATTTATTTATTTATTTTACTACGCTTCCCACAGAAATGATAGAATTTGGCACAAGCTTCTCTGGAGGTACTGAATACATCTAATAATAAAGTACATGATGCTGATGATGTAAAAATAAGAGTTAACTGAATGAATGACAACACATAGCCTGAAATCAAATTGTTTTCTCAAAGTTTGCAAGATATTTCCTTGCTTGTAAAATCACCTGCACATTTTAACCTGTAATGCTTGAATGGCAGTCCTGATAATGGTTTTCCTGGGATGTCTGATTAGCATGGAAATACAGACGCTTTATTAAGGCAACCTGTGTAGACCAATTGCAGCATAACACCATAAATGCAACATATGAACTCATTTCTTTTCTTATCGTCTAGATTCACAGTTTACTGCCCTACAACTTTCTATTTTCAGTAAATATTTCAGGATATTTGGTTTCTTGTTGCAAACAGTGAGGGAATGAAATCAATTCTTCCCCAGACGGATCTGATTATCTAAGCAGGTGCATTTATTTTGCGCTGCGAATGATTACTTCTGTTTCCGTCACCTCACTCGCCTACGAATTCTTTCGCTCCCCTCAGCTCAAAGACACTATCGACCAGCAGAGGTTTGCTCTGTCAAGACGAAGAATAAGACAAATTTAAAGGTCTTGTGATTTGTGTTTGCATGTGTCAAGACATATGGAGTGGAACTTATCGACATATGTATTGTTTGGACATCTAAATGTTGATTGAACATTTCCAAGGTTTGTTTTTTTTTTTTTTTTTTTTTTCATTTCCCCGCCATATCGTTAAAGAGCATTACCATAAGAGGAAGAGAGTCAATGAATCGAGTCGGATTTGTTGTCCGGCTTTTGATGTCCGATGAGCCCAGAAACTTATTAAACACGTGGCGTTGACAGCGACAAGGTGACGGTTTGAATTTCATCAAAGTCAATAGGGTGCTCAATGAGGCGAGACGATGCAGGAGGAGAGAAATATTTGATGATAATAAATCTCACTGAATCAATTCCTTAGTTGTGAGGTAACTGTAGCTCCTTACTCTGCTTCTCCTTGTTTCAGGAAAATCTCATACTGTGCGCTTACTGTAATCGCAGCAGAGGGCTCTGACTCTGCTCTTGGGTCATGTTTGGGTTTTTTTTTTTGTTTTGCTTTTTTAATTATTCACAAGAGCTAAAACACTGCTGGTGCTTATCTATACAGTGAAAGACTTGGAAATATAAAATAAAACACTTTTGTTTGCAGCACCCCAGATTTTCTCATTACTCATTGGCGAGAGGGGGGAGTAGTAACGTGACCCAAATCTGCCGTTGATTCACACAGAAGGCCTCTAGCACTGTAAGATGCCTTTTGCAACAGAGTGCAGATCCGAATGGAGTGGCATGTGAAGGAAGCCTGAGAAGCAGGAAGGAACAGGAAGAGAGCTACTGCAGACAAATGGGGAGCATTTAGTGACGACAAAGTCGGAGGCTGAAGTTAAGCTAATATGGGAGAGAAAAATAAAAAGTGTCATTAATGTCATACGTTGTGTTTACAGGTGGGAAGTAAACAAAGGAGATTTCTGTTTTTTCTTTTACGGGACAGGAGTCTGCTCACAACGGGATCACGTGCTTTGATCATTCACACTCGGTAAAAGCTCATTCATACTTACGATGAAGGAAAACGTCTCCAGTTGTGTTGTCGCCATAAAAATGAAGAGTTTGTACTTTGTGACTCTTAAACTTTTTATATTTGTGTTTAATATATCAATGAGTACCTCTGTTAACTTTTCTATAAGACATATGACTATAGTATATAAACGCACACATACACACACACACCCCCACGCACGAATGCACACACACGTTATACACCTCCAAAAAAAGGGACTCAAGTCTGTCTCTGTGACGGCTAAATGTTGTATAACTTTTGTTTTGTGTCTTATGAACTACATCTCTTCCTTTTGTAGTAATTGGTAAACGTTTCAATTTCCAGGTGACTA